CATCCATTAACATATTTCTAATGGATGAATATCCATCCATCCAAAAAATTAATTTAAAAATTCTTAATTTAATAAGTGACAACATAATATCCAATGGATTTATAAAATGAGATGGATGAATTGAATCCATCCATATGAGTTAGTGGATGGATTGGATCAAATCCATTAAATTATTTTTTGTCTTATGGATGGATTGGATGGATAAATTATTGGATGGATTGGATGTATACATTATTGGATGGATTGGATGGATATTATTTAAATAGATTTCATTGCCACCTCTAGTTAGGATTAATAAACCTATTTTTAAGAAATATAGTTTCTTAACTTAGTTGAAAAGTATTTTAACCTGGAACTTCTAACAAAAAGAGGTTCTTGCGAACCGGACTTTAAATCCATAAACGCGTCCGAAAACAGTTTTAAAATCGGTTTTCTTAAACATTAAAAATTCCTAATTTAACTGAACCAAGCGCTTTCACTTCCTTTGAACAGTTAAAACTAACCAAATTTATCTAAAGGTTGGACGACTTTCGATCTTACCCAACAGATTTTAAGTACAGAAAATAAGTGTTAAAAGTCAAAATAACCCTTAAGTAATTCTATCAACAGGTATGGAATACTATTATAACTATAATCCTTGCATCCTAGCCTTTAAGATTTAGCCGGACATAGTAAAGTAAATAGACATGGTAAATAATGCGAGTAAATAAAGTGCGAGTAAAAATAGATAAAGTGCGGTAAAGGGTGCGATAAATAAACAGTGCGAGAAATAAAAGCGGATAAATAAAAGGGCGATAAATAAACAGAAACCTGCTCTAAACGAGAGGCTTTAAATCTTGGTACAACTGGAAGTAAATGACAGAAATAAAATGGCGGCAGGATTAACTTCTACCCAAGTGCTCCAAACCCGATTACAGACTCGATTAGACAATGTGATAACCCCTCGATGTGTGAAGTTTATCACTTTACAATAGGTGAAATTTATGGCTTGAGTTTTGTAACTTAGTTTGGATGATTAGAAATGAGACAAAACTCCTCTATTTATAGTGGTAGGAAAGTACAGGTAAGGACAAGAATGCCCCCTAACTCCTTTTGGGAGGGAAACGAGATTGTGAAGGTGGCGCCCGCCACATGAACTAGGGTGGAAAGGAGTGGGAGACGTGGCAGTTGTCAGCAGTTGTCTTCTATCCAATGTGTGGCATCCCCTATGGCGCCCGCCATGGTGGGAGCCATGTGTACAATTCCTCAAAATGTTGGTCTTTTAACTCGTTCTTCTTCATTTCTTCTCGAGTAGCTTTGAAAATACAAAAATCTGAAAAAGAAACAAAACAAAAGCGTAATACAAGAAAACGGAAATAAAATCCTAAATAACATGCGCAAATCGAGTCGAATAAACAGTATATCAATGGCCTATCAATGGCCTGTACCAATTTTCCCATCTTCAGCTTCTTAAGTCTCCTTCAACAAGTCAAGTCTCATGTCTCACCTTAGACTCTAATGCTCCTGTTTCAAGATCTGATTCCAACACTAGTGATAGGGTTTCAGTTTCTAATCAAAATGTATCAGCTAAAAGCTCATAATTCTCAACATACTTGGCATTTACGCCTTGGTCATCCAAATTCTAATACTATGAGACTTGTTTTAGCTCAATGTAATATTCTTTATTCTAATAAAGCTGAATTTGTCTTTTGTTCTGCCTGCTGTATGGGAAAGACACATAGGCTGCACTCCCCTCAGTCACAATCTCAATATCACTCTCCTCTTGAATTAATTTTCAGTGACCTATGGGGTCCGCCCTAGTCAAATCCTCCCAAAACTTTACCTACTACATCACCTTTGTTGATGCATACACTAGATTTACTTGGATCTATTTGCTCAAAGATAAATTTGAAGCCTTAACTATCTTTAAACAATTCAAAGTCATGGCTGAATTACAATTTGGATTTCCTATTAAATTTGTCCAAACTGATTGGGGTGGTGAATTTCGCCCATTTACAAAGTTTCTTTCTGATCTTGGCATTATTCATCGTCTAATTTGCCCTCACACTCATCACCAAAATGGTGTAGTGGAGAGGAAGCATAGACACATTGTTGATCTTGATTTAACCCTCTTGAGTCATGCCTCTTTACCTCTCAAATTTTGGGATCATGCCTTTTTAACTGCTGTCTACCTAATAAATAGGTTACCAACCATGTCTCTCAATCAACATATACCATATGCTGTCCTTTTCAATCAAAATCCTGACTATAAATTCCTCAAAGTCTTTGGGTGTGCTTGTTTTCCTCTCCTTCGTCCATACAACTCTCAGAAATTTGACTTTAGATCCCATGAGTGCCTTTTTCTAGGGTATTCTACAGCTCACAAAGGTTACAAATGTCTCTCTCCAAGTGGTAGAATCTTCATCTCTAAAGATGTTCTTTTCAATGAGTCCAAATTTCCTTACAATGATCTTTTTTTTCCTAATGTTTCTCTCCCCTCATCAACCATTCCATCCTCCTCCTCATCTAAAGTAACCCTTAACGGACAAGCTCTCCCTAATGTTTTTCCCGTTCCTACTGCTTCCACTACCTTACACTCCTCTTCTTGTTATCAATCCAATTCCAGCCACACACCTCTGCCTCTGTGTCAGCCACCCCTGTAACACAAACAACCAACACTAATCCTACTCCTTCACCCTCTTCAAATGCCAACAATCCGCCTACTACTACCACTTCACCATCCTCCTCCTCTATTTCTGCTCCTGGGGATACTAACCTTCAACCTCTCCCCACCAATACTCATCCTATGACTACTAGAACTAAATCTGGTGTACCCTTACCTCGTCTAAATCCTTCCATTTTTCTTGTCAATTCTGAGCCTAAGAGTGTTAAAACTGCTTTCCAAGATCCTAAGTGGTTTGCTGCTATGCAAGAGGAGTATGGTGCCTTGATAAGGAACAACACTTGGTCTTTGGTACCACTGCCTGCCAACAGGAAAGCAATAGGCTGCAAGTGGGTGTTTCGTGTAAAGGAAAATCCTGATGGGACAGTAAATAAGTACAAAGCTAGGCTTGTTGCTAAGGGGTTCCATCAAGTCCATGGATTTGACTTTAATGAAACTTTCTCCCCTGTTATTTGCTCTCACTTACAATTGACCTCTGCAGCAGTTGAATATAAACAATGCCTTTTTGAATGGCATTCTTGAAGAGGAGGTCTATATGATGCAACCCCCTGGATTTACTGCCCCTAATTCATCTCTGGTTTGTCACTTGCACAAGGCCTTGTATGGCCTCAAACAGGCCCCAAGGCAATGGTTTGAAAGACTCAAAACCACTCTCTTATCCTTTGGCTTTCTGAACAGCAAGTGTGATACTTCACTGTTCATCTACAAGCATCACAGTGCTGTCATTTATATGCTGGTTTATGTTGATGATATAATCATCACAGGAAACTCTCCTCCTTTCGTCAAGCAAGTTACTCAACAACTAAATCATGTGTTTGCTCTCAAACAACTTGGTGACTTGGATTATTTTCTGGGCCCTGAGGTGAAGAAACTGTCCAATGGTAATCTCCTTCTCAGTCAATCTAAGTACCTAAGGGACTTGCTAATCAAAACTGATATGGAGAAATCCAATCCAGTTGCTACTCCTATGGCATCCACCACCAAACTCATCAAAACAGGGTCTGCTGCCTTGTCCGATGCCTTTCACTACAGGTCCATTGTAGGGGCCCTGCAGTATGCAACAATTACACGCCCAGAAATCTGCTAAGCTGTTAACAAAGTATGTCAGTTCATGGCACACCCCTTGGAGTCCCATTGGCTAGCTGTCAAGCGTATTCTGCGCTACCTAAAAGGCACTATCACCTCTGGTTTATTGTTCACTCCTGCCTCCACTGTTCCGTTCTCGCTGCAGGCCTACTGTGATGCTGACTGGGCTGCTGACCCAGATGATAGAAGATCCACCTCTGGGTCAGCTGTGTACTTAGGCCCTAATTTGATCTCTTGGTGGTCCAAAAAGCAAACTGTTGTTGCTCGTTCTAGTGCTGAGGCAGAGTATCGCAGCTTGACTCACACCACAGCTGAAATTTTATGGGTTCAAACTTTGCTAGCTGAACTAAAAATTCCCTTGACAACTCCAACCATCTATTGTGACAACCAGAGCACAGTTGCTATGGCTCATAACCCTGTTCTTCATGCAAGAACAAAGCATATGGAAATCGACCTCTTTTTTGGAAGAGAAAAGGTCCTTAATAAGCCTCTCACTGTCTGCCACATTCCTGGTGCTGGCCAGAAGGCTGACATCCTCACCAAGCCTCTCTCAAGTTCAAGATTTATGGAGCTCAGCTGCAAGCTCAACCTGTCTGCCTCAAGTCAGCCTTTGCAGCCACCTTGAGCTTGTGGGGGAGTATTAGAGTTATATCTTAGGATATGAAAAATCAGCACTATAGAATAATTAATGCCAGCCTTAATTTAATAGAATAAGAAAAGTCATCCTTAAATGTAGAGCTTGAATGATTCAACTCTTGAATGTTCAACTCCTCTTGTATAAAGAGCATCATGCTCCATTCCAATTCAATATAATAATAGAATCAGTTTCTCTCTCTTCTCTCTCATATCTCATTTTAATACTCCGCTATGCTATTTGGGACCGATAACTCTGGGTTCTTTATGTTACACCCAAATTTCGGATAGGTCCTTTGAAGAACACAACATTACTTTTCAAAGATTTAGATTGAAATTTACACCCTTAAAAAAGGATAATATTTAAATTAAAGAATTTGAGGAATTTATCCCCGAAACCCTAATAGCGGCCACATCAAACGCTATTGCTGACTACGGCTAGCAGGCCAAACGCTTTGCGCCAAACCCTACCACCTCCATGCTATTCCACAATAGCAGGCTATTGGCAACATGGGGAAAAACTAATTGAGAGAATAGCTATATTCTAGCAGTTTGCCAGTTCCTTTTATTCAGTTTGTTGAATGTATCGCTAATGATAATTGTGGCTTATCATTTTTAGGTTAACAGCAAAGCAACATTGGTGTTCTCAACTTTCGTTAATGATGAATTTCATGATGATATTGTTTGGCCAGATTTGCCTTATTTGGCTGATGAACATGGAAGTAAGCGATCACTTTACGATTGTCATTTACTGTGTAATGATTTTCTTGCACTCGGAAAATTTCATCCCCCTAATTAAATTTTACAAGCATTGCAGATATATATTTTCAAGCAAAGAATGGTGAAGATATTTTGCAGTCCCTAAGTTCAGAAAATAATTTTGTGGTATGACCGTGTCTCTAACCTTGTAGATAATGCTGAAGAATTTCCTATGAAATACTTACAATCAATGCACTTGAAGCATTCTCACATACTTAGTTTTGTGTACTTTCCTTACTTAAAGGAAAACTCACATACCTAGATTTGATGGCCCAAATCTTTTTATTAATGCCATTTTCATTGCATTTTTTGAAGTATCAAGCCTTATCCAAGACTTGTTTGCTACAATTGATTAATTAGATCCCTCTTTCATTTCGATTCTCAATTTCTGTTTCACTTTACAAACTCTGCATATCTTAATAATAGGGTTATGAATTGTCTTGTTTTCCTTGTTGTAGCAAGTCATAATTGGTGTGGATACCATGGAAATGATCTCTGAGATGGACTTATCAGGTCCATCAGAAATTGACTTTGGGATCGAGGAAATTGATGATCAAGATACTGATGATTTAGATGGCAGCGATGAAGAAGACGGAGATGAAAATGAAGATGAGAATGAGGATTATGACTCGGTCTGAATTTTTCATTGTTTTTAATGTAATTATGAGGCTTATGTTCTTTTCTCAACTGTAATCATACATTATTCAAACAAAATATTATCCACTATTATTCATATTCTTGTTTGCAGGAATGGCTGGATGTTCTTTCAGACGAGGATGAGCAAGAAGATGACGATGAAACACTTGCAGACTGGGCAAAATTGGAGACAATGCGATTTTCTCATCCAATGGATTTTGCTAAAAAATTGGCCGAGGTAAATGTTAATGTTACCTAATTCGTGTCTTCTGGATACAACCCTGTAACACCTTTCTCTTACTTTGGTTATATTGATATTAACTAACTTGATATTTTTATTACTACTACTTTCTAGATTGCTTCAGATGATCCAATTGATTGGATGGAGCAGCCTCCAGCTTGTGTAGTCTTCCAAGGGGTTATAAGACCTGCATTTATTGAAGAAAATTCTCCAATTCAGAAGCATCTATCTGCTTATCAGTCCAGTGATGCTGAAATTAGTAAAGTCACAGAAAATAAAGAGGAAAGTATTGGTGCGATAAATGGTCATGAGCACAATACAGAGTCATCTGAAGATAATGCATCACCACAGGTGGAAAATAATGGAAATAGTGATATCCCTTCTGATGAGACTTCCTTTTACAGATTGGAGATGGTTAAGATTCAAGTGTTTTCTGCACATGGACATCCTGTAAGCTGGTTGACTTTTATGTTTTTGTGTTAGATTGTTTAGAAACAAGGGCCTGGAACTCGTGGAGTTGGTCGAGCTCCTTGTTCATATTTATTGATATTGGTGTTTTATGATGCAATTTGGTGACTTCTTTAGTTTGTAATCATACTCAGTTGGCTAAGAAATAATGGATACGTTTTAAAAAGGAAAGATACAGAAAAAACCAGAACAACCTTTCTTTAATGATTTATAAATATAAATATTGACCTGAAATTTCAACAACTATGATAATTTTCTCCTGCTACAACCTCAGATAGTTTCTCTAACTCTTAATTCAACTAGTTAGAATCAGTAGATGAATAGGCACACATATAACACGAAATTGTGTTAATTAGCTGGAAATCAACTATCCTTTTTGCTGGCTTATTGTAAGAAATTAGGATAATATGTATAACATTGCATTGTACACTGTTAGACCTTTTCTTTACTGGAAACTAAAATTTTGTTCTGATTTTGCATAGATTGTCCTTGAATTAGAAGACTACGCGAAAGCTCAACCCGATGCTATTGCAAGGTCATCTTCCAAAATTATATCTCATTTGAAAGCTGGTGGAGAAAAGACCTTGCTAGCCCTTAAGTCTCTTTGTTGTAGAAGCAAGGGTATTAAAGTGGAGGTGATACATAAGCTCTTGGAATGTTTTCTTTGATGCATTTTTAATGGGTGTTTTTCTCTTAACCTCCTAGCTAGTGCCACAGTTAAATGGTTGTGAGCAATTTTAGCCTATTTGGTTTAGAGTCATTAAGAAAGTTCTCATTCAATTTCAGCCTAAAATAAATGTCAATGCAATATCTGATTCTACAGCATTTCCCATTGTTATAAATCAGGAATTGTGATTTGTCAAAGGACATCTATCTGACTTTAAAATAGAAATGATTAAATACCATTTGGGAAGTTCATTATCTTCCTTATCATCCTTTCCATATTTTCTTAAACATGCATGTACAAGCATTAGCACATTTTCCATGTTACCGTCTGAATAAACTTTGATTGCAATTCATTGCAGGAGGCACAACTTATCTGCGTGGACTCTCTTGGGTTTGATATAAGGGTTTGTTCAGGAACTCAAGTTCAAACACTGAGATTTGGATTCAAGAAAAGGGTACATCAGTTATTTTTCATCGCTACAAATTCAAATTCCATTATATAGATTGCAATATTGTTTATGCCTTGTATAATAATACAAATTCAAGCTTGTTAAAAATATGTCAGATTTAGGGTTTAATAAAAGGCTGGTTCAAAAGAAAGTGGATATCTCGAAGAATTCTAAGTTTGTAGTAGGGAGGGGAGAGGTGATAGTGTTTCATTTTTATAGGTCACAATTATACAAATTATTGTTTTTAGATTTGGGTTGCGAATTTGTTTTACCTTGATAAACAAGACCACCGTCTTAGCTTTTGTGCACTAAGTTGCAACTTACTTAATGCTTCTGATCTTCCTAATATTTGCACTCAATATATCATTATTTGCAGGCTTCGTCAGAATACAGTGCTGAGAGACAACTCAATGATTTACTATTTCCAAGAAATCACCCAAAGCAACCAAAAACAAAGCAAACACATCAAAAGGAATGCTAAAATGTCACATGACATGCGGATTTTTGTTTAGATTGTATGACATCGGCCAATGATTGTGTACAGTAGTGGAGGCAAGGGTAAAATGTCCCTGCAGATGCCAATCAGGTTGTGTAATTTTTATTGCATTTAATCGATAATTGGAAGTAATGTTTTCCTCAGTTGCTTCCTTGTTGTCATTGCTCCTAACTTAGATACGCTTTTCAACTTTATTTGTTGATTCGTTTAATGCCTGCAAGTGAAACAAGTAACTAGAGGTTTTAATCACAATAAGTACACGAACCTGTTAGAGAGGTCGAATATAAAATTAAAACCGACAGCTATGGTTTATGTTATTAGTGGTAATTATTATATCAGTAGTTATGTTAATTGTGTGTTTATGTCGTATAAATAGGGAAAGATTAGGGAGGGGTGGTTATTGCTGATTAGTTAGTGGGAGAGACCCAACTTTCAAACATTTGGGAAGGAAAATTCTATTACTTGATTAAATTGTAAATTGTAATCTTGTAACCTATAAATTTTGTACTGTGTAATTAACATTCTGTTTTGAGAATTCTTCTCAAGAGCAGTATTGAATATAAATTCAGAAAACTGTCTGCAAATTGTTCTACTGGAAACCAGTTTCTATCAACTGGTGATAGAGCATTGAGATTTTGGTTGATTTGATGGTTTCAATGAGAAATGAAGGCACAACTCAAACTACTCAAGCGTGGATTCCAAGGGCTTTTAGCCATGATCGAAAATGTGGAGAAAAGCCTAGAACAAGACATATTCAAACAGGCAGAGAAGAGAAGGTATAAGGCAGGTGATGGTATAAACAAAAATTGCTTATCGCACAAGTCTCACTAGATTGAATAGCGATTAGTATTATGCAACACAGCTTGAAGACGAAAACGACAATACCTGTGTATCATGCAAACCCGTGTCATTGCAAAAATAAAAATCTATTTATGATATATTTTCAGAGTCCAAATCTGTTTTCTGGCACAACAATACTTTGATTGTCGTCTAATCTAATGTGACAAATAATAGAAAATCTGAGTTATTAGTTAGAATTTATTTCTCTGCACCGAACATTAATCTCTCACCTCCCCTAAAATCTCTTGTTATAGAATATTGAAAATACATAATCTTTTGTTGTATTTGTGAGGATCCGCACAAGGGTGATATTTGGGTTCTTGTCAGGAGTGATGCCGTCCTTGCAACATTTCCACGTAACATGGGGGCTCGCATTTGGGGAAGATGACGTGTACAATATCATTATTTCACCTTAGTTACGTGAGATGAAGTCTCATCACGACTTTTTGAGAAATAAGTAGTCAACCGTTTGCCTTAATTATGAGGGAACGAAAACCCTTAAAGGTTTCCTAAAACCCTAGGCCCAAAAAGTCTCTTTAAATACTTCTCCCCTAAGCGGAGAAGGGATAGATCTTAATTCGCACACTTATACCTAAGCACCAGATTAATACATATAGTCTCGCACCTCACATGAGCAGACCCATTAAACCACCGTAAACACCACCATCCAGGGCTTCTCACTGTCGTGGACAAATTCTAACCATCATACAACATAATATATTCACTAAGGCCTCTGAGTACCACAACCCTTGCAAGTGGTAATGTAACACCCATTTTAATTATTTAGTCTTTTGATGTTATTTTATTTTGGGTGTGTCCTTTGTAGGGGAGTGAGCCTGAGCGCGTGGGTGGGTGTCCTTAACTTATAGGAATTATTTGATAAAATATAGAGTTTAATAATAATATAATATAATTAATAATTATGATACTCTAATTATTATTATTATTATTATTATTATTATTATTATTATTATTATTGGAATAAATAAAATAAGGATTTAAGGGGGTATTAGAAGAGTTTTGGGGGAGGAAGAGGAACAGAACACGATAAACCAGTTTTAGAGAGAAGAGTAAAGAGGAAGAACAAGGAGGAAGAGAAGAAGGCTAGGGCTAACGATTCTTCAGGTTCTTCGTCAATCAGAGCATTAATCGAGGTAAGGGGGAGAAACTGATTGGGATTGGTGTTTATATGAAATTGGGTAGATGAGATTCCTTAACCCCGTAGGGATTTGATGAATATGGTTGTTATGTTGATATGTCTTTGATTGTTGTTGATTATGATGAATTTCGTGTGCACGTTGATGTGTTTATGATTGTTGCTGCCATTGATGAATGGGTGCACATATTGTGTGATTTGGTGAGGTTCCGAGTAACTTCTGTAGTTCTGTTGATGGACATAGGTGTAGGTTCTGGAGATAAATTGATAGAATAATGACTAGAGTAGTGTGTACTGGTTGTAGTAATGATAGGATGGGTGTAACACCCCCTTCTACACCCCAAATAAATGCATATAAAACAATTAAGCACATACAAATTATCAGAGTAAAAAGGTTTTATAATAAGGTATAAAAGAAGAATGCCACAATTTCACCAACGAAACTCTTTAACATTTTGCTCCATAAAATATGTAACAATTTCGTAGTTTTAGAATTCACATTTCAACATTCAATTTGAGCGGAAAATAACATCATTTGATCAGTTCCAAAATATTAATTCAAATGCACATAAGTCATCCAGATTAATGCATCATATCAGTTAGATTACAAAACCACATCAGCTGATACATCGCAATGTATCACAAAAGAATGACTATACTAGTCTAACTACCCGGTGTTACATATCAGAGCAGCCGACTCAAAAGAATGAAGACTAACTTCACAAAAGGACTCCGACATCCTAATCTGCAATGCCTCATAGAGCATTATAAAACAGCAGAAGGGTGAGAAATATAACCATAATAATCAAAGCATAAGATTATATATATATATATAGGTAGTCATATAACACATATTCACATTTCTCACCATACTTCATTCTCTTAGTCATATATATTTACCACATATATAGACAAACCTGGATATTCACAAAGCATTTCCACATTATGCATACACTTACAATTTCCACAATCTCATCATTCACACATAAGCATCTCTTCATGCATATGTCATATATCAATGTGACTCAATAACTCAATGCAACTCATGCAATGCGGTACCGACTCTCGTTATCTTTTTCGGTTTTTTTACATTAAACCGGGTCCACTCTTCTAGACCGATAACCCGTTATCTTTTTTTCGGTTTTTACATTAAACCGGGTCCACTCTTCTAGACCGATAACCACAAAGGCCCGTCCTCTAAGCCTTCAAACCCACTCTTCTAGGTTTGGGACAAGCCACTAGTTTCCACGAAACTAACAGACATTGCCTCTTGACTAAATGATGCATGTACAATCAACCACAACAAATGCACTTAAGACCGACATCTTAATCTCATGCATTTACATAATTCATCTCTTCAAGAATTACACAATGATTGCACATACAACATATATCACAACAATCAAGGTATTCACATCACAATACCAATCATACAATTACAAGTGATGCACACATATTCACAATGTTCTCATGCATACTCATCACATAATTGTATACACATCAAGCATTCACAAGTTCATTAAATAATACACACATAATCACCTATTATGTTCACATGTATTTATACTTGATGCAATTAACATTCAAATCACAATTCTAGGATTCACGCCCGTAGGCTACCCACAACACACATCATCACAATAGATCATATCTATATCATATCCTAGAGGTATTGACCTCTGAGAGGCAACCAAACCATCTCCACATGAACAACACAGCAAAGGAAAAATGCTGTCACATTCGCCTCCATTCGCCTGGCGAACCCTCGCAGCGAACCTTCGCCTGGCCTTCGCCTGGCGAACTCTCTCAGCGAACACTCGCTAGGCTTCGCCTGGCGAGACTTCCCAGCGAGCCCAAGTCAGTAGCTACTGACTTCATTCGCCACCATTCGCCAGCACCTTCGCTGGGCGAACCCTCGCTACTCAACTTCGCCTGGCGAACCCACCAGCGAAGTCCACTGGGACTTAAATATAATTATTCGCCAACATTCGCTAGGCTTCGCCTGGCGAAGCTTCGCCTTCGCTCGCCTGGCGAGAGCCAGCGAACCTGCGCAGAACAGAACCCTATTCTGTTCCACCTCCACCATCCACCATCATCCAACTTCTCACACAACAAAATCAGTACAAACAGCATCAACACATGTTACCCAACTATTCTACGGCATTATTGCTCAGTTTCAACCGATTAAATCATCAATCTACCGATTATTCCAACTTTTGCCCTAATTGGAAAGTGATGAAAACTCTACCAAACCCCAACCCAACATACATAACATCATACAATGATCAAATAGAAACATTTCTCACCCTTACCTCGATTAATCGGAGCTTTGATGTTGGTTCTTGATGATTTCCACTTTTCCTCTTCTTCTCTTCTCTTTCTCTCCTTTCTTCTTCTTTCCTCTTTCTTTCCAAATGTTTTCTATCTTTCTTTTCTTTTCTTTCTCTCTTATATATTTCCTTCATTTTCCTTCCTCTCCAATTCCTTCTTAATTCTCTATTAATCCTAATTAATAAAAATTAATTTCCAACATTGATAAAATCCCACTAAATAAATTAATTACTACAATTAATTATTTAATGAAATTTGGGCTGTTACAACTCTCCCCCACTTTAGGAATTTTCGTCCTCGAAAATGTTACCTGATTCAAACAGTTCTGGATAAGACTCCTTCAACCGACTCTCAAGCTCCCAAGTAACATTTCCACCAGCCGGTCCTCCCCAAGCGACCTTTACTAAAGCAATCTCTTTACCTCGAAGCTGCTTCAATTTCCGATCCTCAATCCGCATAGGTGATGCCTCAACAGTCAGGTTATCTTTCACCTGCACATCATCTATTTGGACTACATGAGACGGATCCGCAATGTATTTCCTCAACTGAGATACATGGAATACGTCATGAAGATTAGCAAGCGACGGTGGTAAAGCCACACGATAGGCCACTTCTCCTATCCTTTGCAAAATCTGATAAGGACCAATGAAACGCGGCG